TATGAAAATGTATTAGTAGTATTATTGATAAAATGCACATTCGTAACATTATTAGGTTGAATAAAACCCAATTAACCTACTTTAGTTACACAAAATAATGAGGAATGAATCGATAGTAGTTGACTCTTGGAATTTTTCACAAATTCAGTTCACTAAACTTGGAAGAAATATATTTTCCTGCAAGGAACCCAAAGAACTATTCAGTATATCCATGAAATTTGCGCGCATAATATTATTAGGTTGAATAACATATATTTAAACGACTTTAGTTGAATAAACTTAAGAAAAATAAGTCATTAGTAAATCAATCTTTCAGTTTTTCACAAATTTATTCAACTGAAGTTGGTAGAAAATTATGGAAGATGTGCCTATTTAAAATGATAGATAATAATATAAAAATAGTATAATGATAAGTTCTCTATTATTTCCAGGAGACCTAATATCTTAGTTATCCACTTTAGTTAAATGAAAGTTCTACAGAAATGTTTAATACATCTATTTTCGATCAATCTAATCTACTATAGTCGTAGCAATAGTTTATTCACCGAATTTGTTTGGGATTATCAAATATCAATTGCTTCTGGCGTGTGAAAAATATGGAGCTCTTCGTGTATTACAACAGAATAGGATTGTTTCAAAGTACTACATATATTTCATGAAACATAGACATTTTATACGTTCTAGTGAATGTTCGCTTTCATATTTGAAAAAAGAGAATTTCAACAACACTTAGATGATAAAGTTAAAAATGATGGTTGTTTGTGATGAAATGTAAGAACTAACGTATAGTAACAACATGTGTTTTTGTAAATTTCGAATTTGCAAGTATACCTACATAATGGTAAACTGTTGATAAATGATTTTTATTTATTGACTTATAGAATGAGCTCGAAATAATCTGGAGTTGAATGTAAATGTCATCTAACCTATAAACGTCAAAAAATTTCCAGTGTAATTTCATGCTCCGTCCCCCAAGGAGGAGGAAAAAATTTCCAAGAAATTCGTTTAGTTGCTATGGTAACGATACGAAATACAGGCTTTAAATTGATGGAAAATGTTTGGTGTGAAATTTTTATTGGAATCTCCAAGGTTATAAATCTCCAACTTCCTGCACAATGATTTCGAATCGTGTTAGTTCAACAAAATGATCCTTCCGCTACTAGGTTGGCTCATTTCATCTGTTG